CCCACAGTGTGTTTGAAGCCAGCCTGAGCAACTTAGTGAGAATGTGACTGAAAATACTACAGTGAAAAGGACCAGAGAACAGGGGTGAAATATCAATGGAGCACTTTCCTAGTATGTGTAGATTTAATCCTCGGAGTCTCCTCCGTACAAATCTTGTCTTTGGTGTCTGAAAAAAGGAATCGTTAATCAAAACACTTGGCCAAGTAGTTCTACGCACCTTCAGGCATTTCTGTTTTTTCCAGGCAGTCAACAGTTGATCTGGTCATTAGTCTCGAGTTATATTCTGATATGTCTTATATGATATGACTACACCCAAATGCCATGCCACCATGCCCTCTCCCTTAGGTGCACCAAAGTGCTTGTTGACACTTCTCAGATTATTTTAAAATACTAAGACTTTGGAGTCAAGATTGCTAAATTGAATTAGCTAAGTCTTTTAAAACTTTGTTAGCAAAGTCTTTACTAGTCAGAAATAACAACTTGTTGGAGGATGTGACTGTGGCTTCTGTAATGGGCAGGGAACTGTGATGTCCACAACACTTTCTGAGCCAGTAATCCCACCTGGCTTGGATCTCTCCTACCTCTGCTATCCACATGCACACTGTTGAACTCAATGTCATATTCACCCGAGCAAGACAGATGTGAAGGATATCCAACAAGTGCCCTAGGTGTCTCCTATACAGAGAATAAAATACATTCTATTCTGGGGAGCATTCTTAAGGTCCATGTTCTTGGTTTAGGTAATTAAAATCAGAAATATTAAAATATAGATATAGAGCTCACAAACCCCAAATAATACAGTTTTAAGTGTAAACTATGTGTACTTAATTAAATTCTTCTATGTCACATTATGATATCCTCAAATCATAGTTCTTCAGCCATTAGATCAAGAAAAATTACTGTGTCCATTGTATTGGTTGGAATTCAGCCCACATCAGTCATGTTAAGAAAACTTATTGTTAAGCATAAGTTGGTATAAAGTTGTTTTCAGAATAGTTGAGATGCTAAAAGCAGGCCACAGCACATCTCTCTAGGTAAGCAAATTGCAGAAATGAGATGGTACTTAAAGGCTGATTGGAAAATGGAAAGACACAAGCTTATGAGTTTTGGGACTGTTTCTCAGATCCCTGAGTAGGGAGAATGCTCAGCTAGTTCTGAAGCCCTATTCTCTGAGTACCTGAGACCCTGGAGCTGAGAGAACAGTGAAGACTGAGCTTGGGACATCCAGGAGATACACATTGAAGTTAGATGTACAAGTCCAAGAAGTTAGAAAACCCAGACTGGGTCCTTTTTCCAGCTTAGCAATATCCCTCTAGCATCTCCATTGGGCAAACCTCATGTACAACCAGCTGGCAAAGCAGATATGTTTGCAGAGAACTGAGCTACACAATTGCAAAGCTGGATGGACGAGGAAGGTTTTGGACCTGAGACACCTTAATAACTGGTACAGGTTACCCCTTCACCATCCACACAGATACCACTACATGTTTTAATTGCTCCTGAAAAATAGAACAAGTGTTTCCAATGAAACTCTTCATACAAACTAGGAGTTTCTCACCTCGTTACACACTGGAAAGCTATGAAGTCAAAATAAGTGTCCATCCATATCTCTGAGCAACATTAGCTACCCTCTAGAATTTAGTGCCCTCAGACAAAATTTCTCATTACATTTCTAAAAACAAAAACCACATATACTAAAGGAAAATAAAGGAAAGGTAGAGGGTTCTGAGAAATTAGAAATTTTTGATACGCACAAGTTCACACATATGATAAGCTAGGAAGAGAATTTGCACTGCTCCAGCAGCCCAAGCAACCATCCATAAGAAGGACTCCCACATGCCAAGAGAATCTTCTCCCATCAAGAACATTGTGGTCCTGAGGATTTGACAGACAGGCTCATGAGGTTGATCTGTGCAAAAATCATGTGATGAGCATGTTTATTTAGAAGGAGCACAAAGGGCTTCAGAAAAGACTTTGGCTTACCTACTGTCTTCAGAGACAAATAGCCACCAGAGAGAGCAGTATGTAGGGCCAGAGGCATCTCAGCACATGGGAAAATGTTAGGAAGTAAGAGCAGAGGTCATTCACAAAGAAATGGTGGACTTGGGGCTCACATCCAGGTGTGTAAAGAGCAGAGGGTAAAGATGATTAAGAAGATATTCAAGAGCATTGCATAGAAAATGAAAATAGCTGCTTTGCCTACATCCAAAGGGGAGCTTCCACAGGAAATTTTCCAAACATTTTTTTAATTTAGAGAAAATGCATTCAATTCTTTAAAAAAAATCCCATGGGAACCTAATTAAGTAAACACAAGCCAGGACGCACAGCTCCAAGAAAGGCGTAGAAGTGCACAGTAAGACCACTCACATGGATGGAAAGCAAAGGCATGTCAGGAGACCGTCAGCAAAATGACTCTGAGAGGAGAGTTGAGGTGAACAGTCCATTGAGGGTCGTGGAAAATGGGAAAGGGCATGAAGTAACGGTCTTTTAGTTTTACAAGTTTAATCTTGAATCACAGGAAAATAATCATATGATGACTGGATTGCACTGAAGTGTTTTCTTAATAAGATGATGTCTGAGTACAGTTGGAGACTCGTTGGGGAGAAGAGGACCATGTGGGAGAATGACCATCAGTGTACCTACTTAGATAGGATCTTAGTTTCACCCCCATACTGTTAGCACAAGCAAGCATCTTCTTGATCTGTAGTAAATCCTCTGAAGTGAAGAAAATAGCTTTGAGCTTTGAATATGATTAAGAGGATCACCCGCCTTGTCACCAAGAACCATAGAAACCAATGAAAGCACACAAAACATAGGTGACATGTGCATTATGGCTGCATTATCAAATTTTTACAAATGGGGTGAGTGGCTTAATGCAAGAGAAATTTATTGACGCAGTACTTCTGAAGGCAGGGAGCCCGAAGTCAGGAAATGACACAGTTGATTGCTTGCTGAAGCTTTGAGGTGGAACCCTTGCTGTGCCGTGCTGCTAGTTTCAGGTGGATGTTAGCCATAACTTGGCTTTCTTTGGTCGGCAGACACATCACATTAAACTCTTCTTTTGGGTTTATTTGCCCATCTGCTTTGTGATTCTCTGTCCCTCAAACCTCACCCTCCCATATAAAAATAAGGGCATATGTCATTTGATTTAGATCCCTTCCCAAATCCAGCGCAATCCCACTTTCTTACAAAGACTCTGGTCACTAAGTCTTACACATACACCTATGGGTTAACACACACATACACACACACACACACACACACACACACACACACACACCACATATTTGTAACAGGAATGTGATTTCTAAGAGAAGATTCATCAATGGGATGTCAAGGAATTCTGACACTGAACCAGACTGTGTGGGACAGAAAACTGGTTCTGTCACTTGGCAGGTAGTAAAATGTCTGTGCCTTGGCTTTCCGTGGGAAGATGAATTAATGTTGTAATACAGGGCTGTTGAGGATTTTTAAGCGTTAAACTAGAAAGATTCAATGCTCAACTTTTATCTTCCATGTCTATGAAACAGCATGTATTCCCATGTGATAGGTTTGGTCCATAGTGTTGCCATATATGGGGGACAGAGTACAGAAGGAAGAAGGCTTCTGTGGTAAGGAAGTATCCCATTAAAGGGATATTTTATAGTAGGTTTCTAAAACAGAGTGACTCTCCTATGCATTTGGTCTATAGTTTTAGAATGTTCACCCTCTCAAGTCCCTCTAGTGTATATAGAAACAGAATACCATGTGGTCAAAGAACCTTTTGAAACATTAGTTTACCTCTGTGTACTTGCAATGACTGTTTTCTCAGGGAGGCATTATAAGAACCTGGAGAACTACTGTTTTGAAGATTCTAATAGTGAATAGTAGCATAAAGGCACTTATTAATGTACTCAATGTATTGTACAAGAGACACCCTGAAATTCTTTGATACACTAGTGTGTCAATGGAAAAATGGAAGTCACTTATTTATATTACTAATATAAATATCACATGACGTAATGTGTTTCATTATGACATTGTATACATATAGATCATTGTACTTTGCTCATATTTATTCCCAGTACCTTCCCCCACCCAAACTTCTCCTGTCAGCTTTTCCCCTTCCTTTTACATATTCCTCCTTATGCTGTCATGTCGCATATGTATATATGTCATATGTATATGATCTACACTTATATACATATATATATTTAAATCTAGACTTCATATACAAGAGAAAGATGTGATATTTTTCTTTCTCCCTTCCAAGTTCCCTCTTCTGTTTTCCCCCTCTGCCTTCCCCCAAATCCCCATTCTACTTATGTGTCATATCCGCATATGAGGGAGAACACACAATGTTTACCTTTCTGAGTTTGGCTTATGTTGATTAACAAGTTGATTCCCAGCACCACTGTCCCCCACCACCATACACCATGGAGGTATTTAAATTCCAGTGCTCATACAGCCCTGGAGGTCATATGTAGAATCTTTTAAATTTCTCAATAAAGTAATAACTCCCTTCTTTTCTATTCTGTGTGTGTTGGGGATACAAGTCAGGTTGCAAGTATTATTTTATACCCCTGGGGCATACTGCCTTTCTTGGCAGTTTTGTGGATAACTGAAACTCTGAACATCCATTTTCAGACATCAGTTACAATCTTAACAAGCTCAGCAGGTCTGTGTCTATTTTGCTATGAAATCTAACCAGTTTGTGATCCCTATCTTTGATACTAGATTCTTGTGCCAAAGTTCTAACACAAGTTGCTGAGGTAGGTAATCATTAAATGCTACCAGAAATCAAATGCTTGAAGAAAAATTGACCAAACAATCTCTTCCCATTCTGGGGAGCTTCAAAGGGAACAACCCTGCCTTCAGAGTTCAGCCTGATAGAGAAGGATTTGCCTAGCATGTGGAGTTAACAAGCACATGCAGGCAACAGAATGGCCCCTGTGGACATTGATGGCGTGAGCTTGGGTTTGCTGTACTGTTGCCACACTATGCCTTTCCTCTACCTACAGGTGTGTGTCGTGGGTTATGTTCATTTGAGACCTGAGCATCGAGAACCACCTGGTGTCAGTGAGCATCTGCTGCTGGGTTTTCTGTTTGCCTTCCTGCCATGTCTAACGAAGTAGAAACAAGCACAACCAATGGTCAGCCTGACCAACAGGCTGCACCGAAAGTGCCATCAAAGAAGGAAAAGAAGAAAGGTATGGGCAAATGGCTTTTGTTTGGCTGTCACGTGAGCTTACTCTCAAGGTCTAAGAAAGGAACTTTTATTTCTGGCAAAAGCAATTGGTTTGACTTGCGTGTGACAAGTATTTGTTTCTGCATCTCTGATTATACCAACTTTAAGTTCAGTTAGGGAAATTTCATAGCATTTTCTTAATTATATGGGTTTTTTATAATGCTTTTGTTTAAATGCATGGTTAATTATACAATCACAATTATTGTGTAATTATTGTTCAGTAATCTATTTACCACTTTGTTTTGCTGACATCACCAGTTTTGAAAAATCAAACTTTAATAAAGCACTCTAGGCTTTAAGTACTTCCAGATAGTGCCCAAGGCCTAGTCGGCCAGAGCTGGAGAAGATGCCATAGACTTCCTGCTTCGCTTTGGCAGCATCCCCTCAGCTCTGGGAGTGAGACAGCATGGGCTTTTTGAGAGGAAAAGAAAACACAAAGAAAGGGATAATTACCCAATGATAGCCATGGGAATTTACCCTCAGTTCGCTTTTCTTTTATGATGGTTCAAAATGTTAGAAAATTGTTTGGTGCCTTGTTTTTTTTTTTCTTTCATTAAAAAGAATATGCCTTTTTGTAAAATTCATTGAAAACATTAAAAAAGTTTTGATGAAAAATATTCCCAATTTATGTGGTCTCATGAATTTCTCATCTGCATTTTGTGTCTTGAGGAAGTGTTTGTTGTTTGTTTTTATTTTTTCCTTTTAATCTCAATTCTATATTCAATATTATGGGACATCATTTTTCTTTTAAAGTAAGAATGAGACGGTGGGAATCCCATGTATGATCAATTATGGAATGATAAAGATTTATGCTACTCAATTTGGAGGGATAGTGAGCACAAGTAATCATACCTAAGGCTGACGTTTAAAGATAGACTTTATCCTACATTTCTTTTTACTTCTCAGGTTCTGAAAAGACAGATGAGTATCTGTTGGCCAGATTCAAAGGTGATGGTGTAAAATACAAGGCCAAGCTAATTGGTATTGATGATGTGCCTGATGCAAGAGGAGACAAAATGAGCCAAGATTCTATGATGAAACTCAAGGTAAAGAGGGAAAGAATTCATTGTCTGTCTCAACCATGTGTCTAAAATCAGGAATTCTATTAGCTCCTATCAACCCGAACTTTTTTGTTTGTCTGTTTGTTTGTTTTCGTATTGTTTTTTTGAGACAGGGTTTCTCTGCAGCTTTGGAGCCTGTTCTGGAACTCACTCGGTAGACCAGGCTGAACTGAATTCACAAAGATCCACCTGCCTCTGCCTCCTGAGTGCTGGGATTAAAGGTGTGCACCACCATCGCCTGGCTTCAAGCTTTTCTATTCACATATTGACCTACCAGTGTTTTCTTTTTGGAGAAGCCATGGTTACTCTGAATCTGAATCCTGTTCTAGAATTCCTTTTTAATCAAGAGTTGCAAGATTCCAGGTGCCTTTTTTTTTATATATAAACTCAGTACTTACTTAGATAAGCAAAGCCCATCCCTAAATTCTCCATCACTAAATGATCTAAAAAGCTGTGGGCAGTTGTATGTAATGTCTTATTATGCATAAAAGACACAAAGTAGTGACTTGGACAATAATTCAGTGGATAAATTTCTTGCTTTACAAGTGTAAGGACCAGAATTTAGATCTCCAACACCCACAGAAATGCTGTGTAAGTGTGGCAGCCCATCTGTAATTATAACACTCTAGGGCAGAGACAGTATTCCCATAGCAAGCTGGTCTAGACTAGAGAATCTGAGCTCTGTTCTCAGATGAGTCCCTGCCTCAGTATAGAAAGTAGAGCGCAATCAAGAAAGATATTCAGTGTCATCCTCTGGACTCCATACACATGTATACCATTTATATGCATATGTATGTATATTCCAAAGTAATCAAAATTAAATAAATTTTAAAAGAAGTCACAGAATGCCTACTGACTGAGAAATAAAATTAATCAAGTAAAATATAGGACACTAGCTGGAAATTGCCATTCAGTGGTTTGAATTTGTAAGTGTGCATGTGTGCACACATTCGTGTGTATGTGCATGTTTGTGCACCCGAGTGTGGCCAGAGGTTGACATTGGGTACCTTCATTAATTGTCCTCTATCTTATTTTTTGAGACAGAGTAGCTCACTGTTCCTGGAGCTTACAATTTAGCTAAACTAACTGACCAGCAAGCCCCAGGGATATTATAGTCTTTGCCTTCCCAGCACTGAGATTACGGTTGTATGCCAAAGCATCTGCTTTTTTATGTGGGTTTTGGGAGGTCAAACAAGTCTTAATGATCACATGACAAACAATTTACAAACTGAGCCATCTTCCCAGGTCAACCGTTTCAGAATTTTTAATTTCTATACTATGCCACTATGTAGACCTAATTAAATAATATGAGGTGTAGGTGAGCCATCCTCTGTGTGTGTGTAATAATGTAAATCTTCTACTCCATCCATTACCCTTGATCAAAAGTGCTTAATCTTTTCATAGATGCCATCCACGCTGAAAACAAAGCAGCTTACCTTTCAAAGCTTTTGTCATCAGAAGTACTAAAGGATGCTTTAAAATACACCTCCCTTGTTTTCTCAATCTCACCAGGGAATGGCAGCAGCTGGTCGATCTCAGGGACAACACAAGCAAAGGATCTGGGTCAACATTTCCCTGTCTGGCATAAAAATTATTGATGAGAAAACTGGGGTAAGAATCTGTGCTGCTAGCAATAGTTTACCATCTGAGTCTGACCACAGTTGAATGACAGTGCAAAATCCTTTTCTTCTTCAAATAAGCAAAGAATAATATCATGCATTCCTTCTCTGAAATAGACAACAGAAAGAAAGGATTCAAATGTCCTGTTTTGAAAATCATTTCCTATGAGAGATGTGAATAAGCCACCAAGCACAAGTGTGTCACTGCTGTTCCATGGCAATTATTTTGAATTCAGACTAAACTAGATTATTTTAACACCTAAGTTATTTTAATGTATTGATCATGTATGAATTTGGTGGCTAGCTCCAAACCTCTAAAATACTTTTCATTTCTCTTTTCCATGGTAAATGCCCACTCTGCTTGCTAGTCATTAATTCCTTGGGTATCATTGTCTTATATCACCATCCTTCAGCCCCTAATAACTTTGTCCCCTAGACAATGGTAGCAGGTTTCTCTCATAAACATTATTTCTTTCTTCTCCAATTATGACCCCTTTGGCAAGTTAATTTGTATAAAACGACAAATATGGATTCATAACATTTATAAGGAACCATATAACATTTTAATTGGTTTCATAAAAACTTCATTTGACCTGCTGTCAAATCAAACTCAAAGGTTCAGAAGTATCACCTGACTTATCTTAGGCATTTAGAAATAAAATTCAAGACATGTTTTGTCACCTATGATATCTTTGAGGAGTTGAACCCTGGTGCTGGCTAGAAAGGATCAAGAGAGATGTAGAAATCAGAGAACAGAAACCAGTAGAGTCTCTGTGACATTTGACTTCTAAGGTCCCTTTAAGACAGGATGAAATGGTCTAGGGTTTACTGGTTCATCTTAATAAAATACAGGAGCCCTCTGGACAATTCTCCAGCTTACTTACTCCGTTTAAGTTTGCCATTTCTTTAGGAGACTAGACCTACTTGAGTTTTGTTTGAATTTGGCTTTTCTTCTTGTTTGCTTTATTGAAGGGTGTGGCTCTGATTTTGGTATGTGCTCAGTTGGTTGTTCAGTTGGTCAGCTGGTTTTGAGATACTATCTTGTTGTGTTGCCTGGGCTGATCTTAAACTCATAGGGTAAACTAATATTCTGGCTTACTTTCCCAGGGACTATAAAGACCACACCACACCCAGTTCCACTTGGGTTGGTTTAAAGGTTATGTATTCCTCCTTGACTGTAGACATTCTTGAATCCCTCTCAGTCCTTCCTTGCATGTGGCATTATATCTTTTGAATAGAAAGAGAGTCGAGTACTTATATTTTTAGAAAGAATGTTCTTTTAATTTTGTTTTCTATTAACTCTTCCTTTTGGAGCCCTTTCTGGAAAATTAAATAAATCTAGATCTAGCCTTGAACCAAAGACTAAGAAGTCTTTCTTCAAAGGCTTTAACCTCACATGCCTTCACATATGTTTTGATAGCTGAGATAGGCAACAAATGCATTCTATTTACTCACTGTTGTTCTTCCATGTTCCCTTTTAAGGTAATAGAGCATGAGCATCCAGTAAATAAGATTTCTTTCATTGCCCGTGACGTGACAGACAATAGAGCATTTGGTTATGTGTGTGGAGGAGAAGGCCAGCATCAATTTTTTGCCATAAAAACAGGGCAACAGGTAAGCTCTAAGATACAGCACACCTGAGGACTGGTCCTCTGAGAATAGGAGCGTTTATAATTAACAAGAATTATTTATTTGAAACAATTCTTTAAGCCACTGGTTTCTTAGATCAATCATCATTCAGACAATGACTTATGCCTTAAGAATCTATTGAAAAAGTCATTGATAGTTGTGTGTGTGAAAAAAGAATTGTGAGAACAGAATTTCTAATAGTACTACTAATGAATTTCTAACAGTATTGAATTATTCCCAGAAGCTTTGAGGAATATACAAAAATAGGCATGGTAGCTCTTTGTTTTGTCTGAAAACTTAAAAAAATTTTATTGTGGTATGTTCTTAACAATAGTGAAATGTGTATTAACCCTGTGTCCTTTAGTTATCTGAGGATAGAGATCCTCTATAAACCAGGGGAGGGTGGTAAGGAATCTCAGCAGGAAATATAAAGTATTAATAGGAGCTGATTATAGACAAAAAGTGAAAACAAAATGCTGTTAATGCTTTCTGTCACTTCAGGCTGAACCATTAGTTGTCGATCTTAAAGACCTTTTCCAAGTTATCTACAATGTAAAGAAAAAGGAAGAAGAAAAGAAAAAGGCAAGTGCTGTTTGATAGAAATTCTTCTGGGTTCAAAACTATACTCAGGGTCTATTTAGTGTCACATTCGTAAGCCCTGGCTGTAGAGCTGGGCTTCTTTCCTCCATGTGTAGCACTGTCTGTTGCTCTTAGCAGGGCAATGGTGGGACTTTGTGCTTAGGAACATCTGATTTCAGTCTCTGGCTCCCTGTAATGTTCACATTAGTTAAAAGACTCCACAGAGCAACCTAGTTTAAATCTAGAAAGTCTTCAAAGATACTATCTATGTGAAATGGGGAGGGGAACATATAGCAAATTATGTTAAGATTTTTTTTCTTTGCCTATTGAATCTGGCTGTATTTGTTCCTTTACTAACTCTCTTCCCGAGTACTAAGCTGAGTGAACCTGTGTCTTTCTTTTTAGGTTGAAGAAGCCACCAAAGCAGAGGAGGTAAAGCTGCCTCTTGATTTCCTGTGATGTGTGAAAGCCATGTTGGCTCCCTGCAAAAGCATTCTCCCCTCCTAGCTTGAGCCTCTGGGCCAGTGACCAACTTTTCATGGGAGATAAATAGTTAATATTATTAGAGAGCAAGTTATAACAGCTTAATGGGATAGTCGGTCATGGAAATAAGTTTTATGGGCATACTTTATCAGTTAAACCCTTTAATCTTTGCCTGTTATTTGCAGAATGGGAGTGAAGCCTTAATGACCCTGGATGACCAAGCTAACAAACTGAAGCTGGTATGTTTGGGAGGTTTTGTGATTCTCTTAACATGGGTTTGTACCTCTGAGAGCTTGCTAATACTGGACCTATATTGAATCCATAGGAAAATTCAATTAGGATAAGTATTTTCCTATAAAATTCAAGTAATATCTATGTTAGTCTACAACATACTCCTTTTGGTAGGTCACCAGACTCTTTTAAGGTGTTGACCAGAGTGATGTCCTTCGGGAACAAGCCTACACTTCCTGACATAAGTAGCTTATTATCAAATCTGTAAGAAATCAACTACAATCCAATTATGACAGCTATTTCCTATAGTTTAGGACACAGACAATTACAGTGATAGACAGAGTAATTGTTTTAAGTAGACACATCTGAATCTAATCCAAATACTTTTTTAAGGGTGTTGACCAGATGGATTTGTTTGGGGACATGTCTACACCTCCTGACCTAAATAGTCCAACAGTAAGTGTTTTGTTTTTAAATTTGCAATGTAATTGAAATAACATCTATAATCCCAAATTTACAATTAACCAGAAAGCTTTAGCAATTCATGGAAACTTGGAATGTCTTGATTTTTCCTCATGAAATAGAAGTGGCTACTATAAAAATAATTTGAATCTTAAGTCACCATAAGAACCTACCACTACTAATTTGGATATATTAGTATAACATAGAGGCTAAATCTATGCTACTAGTCAGTAAGTGTGATCATTCTTGGTAATAACGGGATCAGAAGGAGGGACTGAATTATAATTCTTGGCATAAGTCTACTCAAAAGAAGTATGTTTATTAAATGATAAATCCTAAATTGTCTTAGTTTCTTCATCTTTTTCTGCTTTTCTTTTTTGCAATTTAGCTGCATGAGTTTGGCATGAAATAAGAGTTAGACAAGGAGTCAGGCATGGTGGCACATGACTTTAATCCCAGCACTCAGGAAGCAGAGTCAGGTGGATTTCTGTGAGTTCAAGACCAGCCTGGTCTACAAAGCAAGTTCCAGGACAGCCAGGGCTTCACAGAGAAACCTTGTCCTGAAAATCAAAAAAACAAACAAACAAAAAAGGAGTTAAATAAGGTTCATTTTATGATTAACAAAAGTCTCTTCATTTTAGAAAATTTCTAGATTTTATAGAGTATTGTTATATGTCCAGTCTTCTCAATATTGATGAATCTGTGTCAGCCATGTGAGAACATAGCAATATTTTCCTTTATTGATATGAAAATGTTGGTCCAGCAAGAAAACTTGTTTATGCTCAGATTTAAGGTTTAAGCCTCATTTTTCAGATAGTCTCTAAAACAGGCCTCACACAGAAACAGTCATGTCATTTTGAATCAACTTTTATTATTTACTTACCAGTTTCCTGTGCACCTGCTATTGGCAAATCATAGCAGCAAGAAAGATGCACATCAGTGTTATCATCAACCTTTCTATCTAGCAAGGACCATGTTAAGACTAGTGACAAAGCCAATTGAACGATGCTAATTACAGGATGTTCACTTAGCATGCAGATTCAGATAATGCTTCCAAGGAAGGGAGTTTCTAGAATTGAATATCAAAGACAATAAGTCAATATCTAGGCAAGCAGAGCATTGGTACTTGTAGAATAATGGAGGAAATGTCTGGTAAGATTCTCTCTCTCTCTTTTTCTCTCTCTCTCTCTCTCTTTGGGTTTTGAGATAGGGTTTCTCTGTATTGTTTTGGAGACTATCCTGGAACTCGCTCTGTAGACCAGGCTGGCCTCGAACCCACAGAGATCTATCTGCCTCTGCATCCCAAGTGCTGGGATTAAAGATGTGCCCCTTCAACGCCCAGCCTGGATAAGACTCTCTTAAATTAGGAAATTATCAAGTAAGTTTTCATGATGTGCAGAAGATCTCAGGAATTGAAATGAGTCAGAGAGAGATGGGAAGGATTCTTACTTCCCAGAGTACTATGGAGAAGTCCAGCAGGCACACCCTCACTGTGTAAATCCACTGAAGCATGGACTGTGTATACCCTTCTCTGTACCTACTCATAAAAATCATATTGTGTGATGGCATCTTAACGTCCTTGCAGAGTCTACAGTAGAGAAGCTAGAACTGGGTAGTCTTCCAAATAGTGAGCCCTTCCCTACTCACTTACTCATGGCACGTTCATTCTTTATAATCCTTTTTAGTGTTTTCAGGATAAGATTTTTGGCATATTAGGTTAGCTGATACTGGAAGGAATATTCTAGTTCTGAGAGCTTTTTGATTCCTCAACAGTCTTGGTGATTCTTTATTAGTAGATAAAAGAAATCAGTATCTGTGAAATGGTCTTTCTAAGTGTCATACCAAAATGGGTCCTCCAAGAGAGAGGAAAGCTCTCACAGTGGATTGCAGAGGAAGAAGCAAGATGGCGCTCACTCCCTTGGCTTTTGTGGACTTTTGAAGCATTCTGCATACAAAATGAAAACACAGCATGGATGATCCTTATTCTTATACCAGAGTTCTTGCAAACTAAAAATTTCATTTGTAGAAATTCAAGTTTTAGCTTAAAAATAAATTGAAGTAATAGATATTATCAAATTAGATAATATCTGATAAGTTTTTTTTTAAAAAAAGATCTAACAGGGCTGACTATGTGTTGGTTAGATTCTGACAGCATGTTCTGTTGCATTGACTCCAGATGCAGAGGACACAAAATAGATGTTTCTCTGACTAGTAAAACTAGCATGTTTCAGAGTTTTTCAACTCCTACAGCAGCTGCTCTGGAAAATGTAAAGTGTAGAAGAAAAATGCCCAAATTACTTAAACTCTCTTAGTTATCCCTAGTAGCTGTAGCTTCTCCCAAATTAATGTACAAAGCTTTTATGCACTTCAAATATTAAAGTGTTGACATCCCTTAGAACATAATGTTTCTTTGCAAAACTACTGGAGAATTATGTTTCACAGGGCTTAAGAAATAAAGAGAACGGGGGAAGAAAGGGAGGGAAAAGGTACAAAGACAGGCAAAAAGTGAAGGAGGAAGATTTAGAAATATAGATACATGATCTTTAACTTTCAAAGCCTGACCACTTGAAAGACTAAAAGAAATGATCCACTATTATAGAGATTAAACCTGGTAGAAGGGGATTAGATTAGAGTACAAAGTTTAAATAATATGTGTATGCATACACTTTTATAGCTCCATAGATGGCTTGGGGTAGATACAGATAAAACTGAAATATCAATAAGAAAAATGTAAACAAAAAATCTGAAATTAGCTGGGTCATTGAAGTGTATATTGCAATAGATAGTAGCTATGGTAAATTGAGTGGGGTCCTACCATGTAGCATTCCAAAAGCTGATCTAAAGAAGTAGATTTTAATGTACATAAAGAATGGCAGGAAGCTAACAATGGCGTTGAGGCCTCAGTTAGTGACCATCTCTGGGAGGCTAGCTACCCAGAGAAGAACAGTAGATCTCAGTTTCCAAATATTGCCCTGGTGCAGTCTTCACACCGGCTTGCTGAAGTGCTTGGTTCACTTTCGAGTCTGTCTGAAGGTGTCAAGTGGCAGCCAAGTGCAGTGCTGAGAGTTCAAAAGGCAAGAATGAAGCTCTGACCTCGGGAGTACATGAGGAGTCTCCCGTCTGGCCAGTCTAGTCTTTCAGATAGACTCTTAAGCTTGGATTGACAACAACCCTGTCCTGAGGAGAGCCTTATACATTTTGCTCGTAGGGTGACTATTCAGAAGTCTAACACTGTGACTCGTTTGGTGTCTTAAGAACTTCTTCTGAAGTGTCTGGAAAGGAGAACTCTGCCAGCTGTGAACACCCAACTATGCTAACCTAGAGGTGGCCCTTAACAAACAAATAAAACACTGAATCAAGCTTCCAGAATGCATTTTATCCCACCTTTTGATTGCTTAAAAATCCACTCATTAAGAAGTCTTCCAATTCATTTGTTTGATTAAAAGCTTTAAATTTAAGCTCCTTCTATGACGAATTCTTCTAGTTATAAAGAGAAAACCAGACTTTCAAAAAAATGATTTTATGTTTTCCAGTAAAGAAAATAAAAAGAAAGAGTACAGTTTGGACCTGATTTTGTACCCTCCTCTATGTCACAAAAGAGAAATGGGACTTTATTCTTTCCTTAAAAAGAGAGATTTTTGAATGCTTTTTGTCCTTATTAGCTGAAAACGTTCAGATTTCTTTTAAAGTGTTCTTCTCCCAGTGATCAAAACAGTTCTCCACCCAGGTTACTGCTGGATGTCTACCTCTGCTTCCTTTCCAGCTGGACGGTGTTTCTTGTTTACAATCTATGGCTGACAAAATTAAGCATTTAATGGATCAAAGTCATACAAAGAGGTCTTTCCCAGGGTAAATAATAATTAGTTATGAACTGGAATAAAAACATGTCAAATTGATCAAATTGGTAGCTTTGATGCTAACAATTTTCATAAGACAAATGAAGAAACCAAACAATTAACATCTATATTTTTTCATGTAATAGAGAAGAAATAGAATTGGCAGTTATACATTTTGCATGCTTTGAAGATTACACCCTAGAACCTCATTTCCTCCTTAGTTATTAGCTGACTTTAATGCTTAATAGGTGAGATCATTGCCACAATACAGGAAATAGCTATGTTCTGATAATATTGATTAGATGTGATCAGCATTTTGAGAAGAACACACAGGAAAGAATATATCCAAAAAGGTATGGGGATGGTAAAGATGAGTGGTCCAGCTTAGCTAGTATCTTTAGTAAAGTCTTTTTCTATTCAAAGAGTGAGACCTACTGACCAAGATAATGGAGACTCTTGTTTCCCCCCAGAGGAAGGAAATACAGCCATAACTATGAAATCTGGAGCTGTGGAATGTAACTCAGTGGTAGGATGCTTGCCTACAATACTTGAAGCCCTGGGTTTAATTCCCAGCACTGTACACATACATACACATGCTACACATATGAATATTAGCCGATGTATTTGCTCATTTAGAGAGTTAATGTTAGAGATTTCTGGAAAAAGGACTAGGACTGTGTGTTTCTCAGGTAGGAAGCTGGACTAGGTTACTAAAGTCAGTTAATAGATCCAAATAGTATATTCAGATAAGCATTTAGAGTGAGTCCCAGTTAATTCCAAGGCATCGGTTGAACCAATGAAGATAATGAACCTAGCCCATCTGAATGAATTTACTAAGGACAGCATGAATTTAGCAAAATTTCACTGAAGAAAGGGCAGAACCCATGGAAACTTACAGCTCACAAACCGAGTGAGGAACTAATCCCCAGCTAGTAAATACTCAGGGAGTTGATGGGAGATGGTAATAGTCCCAAATTCTAATAGGAATCCTGGTAATCCTTGTCGTTTTGATGTAGTTTTCTCATTTGAAGTTATAACATGGACTAACACTGTCTCTCTCTCTCTCTCTTTTTCCCCCAAATGTGCTAGGAAAGCAAAGATATCCTGTTAGTGGATCTAAACTCTGAAATCGACACCAATCAGAACTCTTTAAGAGAAAATCCATTCTTAACAAATGGCGTCACCTCCTGTTCTCTCCCTCGACCAAAGCCTCAGGCATCCTTCTTGCCTGAAAATGCCTTTTCTGCCAATCTCAACTTCTTTCCCACCCCTAATCCTGATCCTTTCCGTGATGATCCTTTTGCACAGCCAGACCAATCGGCACCCTCTTCGTTTGATTCTCTCACATCTCCAGATCAGAAGAAAGCGAATTTGAGTAGCTTGTCTACTCCGCTGAGTAAAGGGCCCCTGAACGGTGATACCGATTACTTTGGTCAGCAATTTGACCAGATCTCTAACCGGACTGGCAAACAGGAAGCTCAGGCAGGCCCGTGGCCCTATCCAAGTTCGCAAACCCAGCAAGCAGTGAGAACTCAAAATGGGGTATCTGAAAGAGAACAGAACGGCTTCCATATCAAATCTTCCCCGAACCCTTTTGTGGGAAGCCCTCCTCCCAAAGGACTATCGGTACCGAATGGCGTAAAGCCGGACTTGGAAAGCTCTGTCCAGTCCTCAGCACATGACTCCATAGCCATTATCCCACCTCCACAAAGTACCAAACCCGGAAGAGGCAGAAGGACTGCTAAGGTGAATTGTCTTTTCCACATACCCATTAGCAGAGTGCATGCGCGGTACCAAAGGGTGGTGTGACGCAAGCTCTCTTCCCTGCTGCTCTTTTAGTCTCCTGTGTGGCTGTGAAATAGAAGGTGGGATAAGACACTTCGGCCCTCCAGGAAAATGCCCCTCTAGTCAACATTCTTCCTAAGCTGGCCAGCAGTGTTTGTCACATCTGCTTTCCGTTTGCATGTCTTGTCACTTAATACTAAACTAAACACAAGTTGTTGTTTTTTTTTTTCCATTGTTAATGCTGCTATGCTTCTGTACCTCTGGTAAGTTTGATTGTCATGTTCTGGGATGGGAGGGAGAGAGTTCTTGTGATTCCCTTGGTCCTATCCCCACCCACACTAACACATGTCCTGCACACCCATCATCACTGATGTCCATGGTGGTGGTTTAAAATTCTCAAGTCTGTCTCCTCTTTTAAATGTAAATGTTGACTTAATAACCCATTGACTTAGAAACTTACACAAACGCTATTACCAACTTCATTCAAAAGCGACTCCAAGTGCACTACCCCGTAGGTGATTTTTTTAGAAGCTCTCATGGGAATGTGCAGTCTTACCTAATGATGAAAAGTAGTATCGCCTCTATCGAAACTGATCTAGATTGAATGGAATGATAGAAATTATTTAGGATGCTTATGTTGCCCTTCCTTTCCCAGCTTCAAGTTTTCACCAATAAGGAGACCAGACTGACATAAAAGGATAAATGAGAAAAATAGATTTCATTTTGCAAGTCCAAGGTGATATCCATTAGCCCACTCACTACAGCCATCTGTGTCTCTTACCCCCACCACACACACATGCGCGCGCGCACACACACACACCTTACCTTTGCTCTTTCATTTATCAGTAGAAGAAATCATTTGCCAGTAATAATAGAAAATTTTCCTTTATGTGGAGGTTAGCTTTGGGGTAAGGAGTAGGAGACAGATGGAAGCTGTGTTTGCTTTCTACCTGAGTAACTCTTCTCCCTCCTTCCCCTCCTTGTCAGTCTTCAGCAAATGACTTGCTTGCATCAGACATCTTTGCCTCAGAGCCTCCAGGCCAGACGTCACCCACGTCACCCACAGGACAACCTGCAGCCCCTCAGACCAACCCTTTGGATCTCTTCAAAACAAGTGCTCCTGCCCCAATGGGGCCCCTGGCAGGTCTAGGTATGTTCCCAGAGTTGGAATTACATGTGGCTCTGCTACCGTCATTCATACTGACGACACACAGGAGGAAGACACTTCCTGTGCTGGTGGGTATCAGATGGGAGACCTCAAGCAACACTCCTCGCATTTGCTCCTGCACAGCCCACACGCCTGTGACATTCCTGCCTGGTAACTGAAATTCAGCTCTCTGAGCTGCTGCGGGATAAGAAGTCTGTTTTCAGTATTTTGTGTCCCTGAACAGCTGGCAGTGGCTTTCAGAAGGGATTTTGAAGTCAGACCAGTTTCGATGGTGAAAAGGGGCTGTGTTAAGAGAACCGTTGTCTGCATGGTAAAAGTAGGAGTATGCATGCTTTGCGTGCCATTTGCCTTGATAGATGGAAGTGTATCTCCTCTCAGGGCTCAGATCCTCTCTCTTGTGTAGGTTAACTGGAAGTAAGGCTAAGTCATGAAGTGAAAGTCTAAGTTCTGGGCTCAGCTCTGCCCCTAGGTCTAAGTAAGCAGGGAATGGACCCAAATCATCATCTGTTTTTGAATACTTACGCCTTAGCAATTCATAATTAGTCATTTTTCTAGAAGAGTGTCTACACAGAGCTAGGAAATAAATATTAGAAAAAGCTAAAGCTAGAATAAGCATAGGTGTTTCCTTAGACAATGGGATGTGTGGGGGTGAAGCTGTATCTCTGGCTTGACTGATCCACTGAGTTTTTGCTGCAGGATGAAAGGAAAGGGACACTGACTGGGGTCTGGTCCTGTTACTCTTCCTCCACAGCCTCTAGTCCTTTTCAGGCTTCAGGAACCCCAACAATAGTCTTTACCATCCTGCTGGGGATTCCCTTTGTTTCTTGCTTCTTGGTGCCTGTGTAAACTCAAATAGAATCTGACTTGTGAGGTGGGGGACCAAGGATGAACTAGGACTCTCTGGCTCTTTGGTAAAATTTCAATGGAGATTGTGGCTTTTTCCTGCAAGATCCCTTTTCTTCCTTTATTTCCTTTCTTCTCTCATTTACTGGTTTCCTGCAGAGGAGAGCAATTTTTTTCTGCCACTATAAGTCTGTGTAAGCATGTCTGGAGTAGGGATGAGAAAGGAGTTGTTGCCAATGCTGAGTGGCTGAAACCCAGGTCAATGTGAGCAGTCCATAGGTTCCAGGTTCAATGTTATAGCACCGAGAGACTCTCCAAAAAAACTTGGTGCCCTTTGAGAAGCCTCCTTTTTGCATTGTTCTTTTCCCTGTACCTACAGAGCAGCAGCTGGTGTCTTTCCTCCATAAGGATTCAGGGGCTGTGACTAGATCACATCCCAGAGCTCTGTAGTCTAATATCAATGCCTTGAAGAATTTTTACAGCCAATATTTAGCAAGTCAGCCTGAAGATACAGCTGGACCCTATAACTGTTAATTTATTCAGACGAAGTGAAGCCTTTTGGCGATGTGCCCCTGTTGAGGCCTTGGGGTATACAACTGCAGAATACTGATGATTCTTCCAAGTTTGGACATGGAACTCAAACTGAGCCCCACAGTGTAGCCCCTGTCCATTGGCAGTGATCCTCAGCCAAACCATGGAAGGTTGTAGGTCTGGCTTCCGCTGGCCCCAGCTGGGGGACTGTCTCCTCTTGAGATCTGGGGGGTGGGGGAAGAAGGCTTTACAGGAAGCTGAGCCCTCGGCTTTGACTTGTACCCTGTGTTTTGATCTAGCATCAAAAGGTAATAAGATTAATGCTTTATGCCCGCACTCTCTTTTTCCTCAGTCCTTGCCTCTACTTTCTCCAGCTGGACCATAAATGTTTTAGAAACGTAATGGGTGGAGTCTGGGAGATGGCAATGAAGGCTGGCATGAATGCAGACTTACCAAGCCCTTACTTCCTGGCAAATGTAATATTTTTCTTTTTACAAGTGACATTCCCATTGATACCATCTATGACTAGAGTTAAAGAAGTAGTTCAGGATGAAGGGAGGCAAATGGGTGCTTCCTTTTATGTATTTAGTTTTACACTTCTGAATGGCTGGAATGATTGGTAAATGACCCCTTCCTTCCATTCACAATATTAAATTGTTTTGAAACATTGTCAATAGTTTTGCTCAAACTAAATCCACTTTTAAGACTTAATAAGAGAAGCCATGTCTTGGTTTTGCAAATGTGTTCTATAATGCAACAAGTCCTGGCCCTGTGTCTGTGAAGTTACTATGTGAATTAGCTTCCCATTGAACAAGTAGTTGCTTCTTATTCCTTGCTGGGAAAAGGTAAAAAATGGGAGAACAATGTACTGGGGTCAGGGCCAAGGTACATGAGTTTGTCCATGTGGGTATGCACTTTGAACGTCCCATATTTGATTATGTGTTCTCGACTCAGTTCAGGCATGCTGATCAAGTAAGGAGGCCGTTCTGTGGGAGGGTAGCAAATGTGTTCCTGACAAGATGCCAGCATTCAAGATAATAAAGAATCAAATGCCAAAAAGATCAAAGGAGATGACCTTGTGTCAGCCCCTAAGCCCCATTTCAAAGTTCTTTTCATTCTGAAAAAAATAAAATAAAACAGCAACAAATCTTTTCTATCCAAAATATCCCAAGTTTGAAACCTTTTCCTAGTTGAATTGGAAAATGAATAATGGCCGGGTGTTGGTGGTGCACGCCTTTAATCCCAGCACTCCGGAGGCACAGGCAGACAGATCTCTGTGAGTTCAAGGCTAGCGTGGTCTACAGAGCGAGTTCCAGGACAACCTCCAAAACAATACAGAGAAACCATGTCTCAAAAAACCAAAAGGAAAAAGAAATAAAGAAAATGAATAAAGAAAAAATGCTGTGCTCTGACCCTCAGAACAAGTAGGTTTGAAGAGTAGAGCAGCACCACCCATGACTGAGGATGAGACTGGGTTAGTGGATGGCTAGTGCTTTGGTTTTTTTTTTCTCGATGGTGATGGTTTATGGACTTATTAATGCAATTGGGAAGAAGGAGCAGAAAGAATGAATGTCTTGTGTTAGAACAAGGTGCAAGGCATGATTGAGAGGTCTGGGTTCTCATGAGACAACTACATCCTGAAGAACATGCAGGGGGGGCAGGCCCTGGAGAGAATACTCTCCGACAAGAGACCACAGTTACCCACAAAGGGGCTGATTCTCCTTATAACTGCTCTCCTCTAACTTCTGGCAAAGTTTAGTGAGTGACACATGGCAGGAAGCACTTTTATTGGAAGCAGCCATCCCAGGATAATAGTCTTTCTTCCATTTTTATATGTAAAAGTCTAAACTATGTGGGCCTCGGCTAAACTTCATCTTCCCTTTATGTATCTGTGTCAACTTTGGCAGCATTAGAAAGCAAGGGAGTTCTGAAATGGAGAGATTCTCTTTGAGGACTCATTTCCATTCATGATAACTGGTTTCCATAAGTCCTCGGCAGGAGCCAGCTGTTAAATGCAAAGACTAAACAGTGACTCTGTGCAGTTGATTATCCTAATTAATTACTTAATAATCCCTGTGATTTTGTCCACTTGACCAATCAGTTCTGTTTGCAAGTTCTCTTCAGGGTGTTGGAGATTCATCAATACATTTTTGAGAAGCATTCATTCATTCATGGTTAGGGACTTAAGGAGTGTATTACTCTTCTAACAAGGGAAGTAAGTAAGACCTGTGGTAGAAAGACCACACAACAGTGCTAAGAAGTTAACCTTCACAGTGATTTCGTTTCTTGAAGCCATTGTTTCTGGGTCAGCTTCAAAACTTCATAAAGTTGGGAATGATCTACAAATATGCCCAGAAAGCCGTGCTTCCTAAAAGTCAAGAATCCTTGTCAAAGGGACAAATACAGCAAAAGTATGTTATATGGATGTTTCAAAATGTCACAATTAAACTCATGATTTTATGCAATCAGTATGAAGTTATGAAAATAAAATAAAAGGGCTGGGTGGTGTGGCACATGTTGTTAATCCCAGCACTCAGGAGGCAGAGACAGGTGGATCTGTGTGTGTTCGAGGCCAGCCTGGTAGACAGAGCAAGTTCCAGGACAGGGTCCAAAACTACAGAGAAACCCTGTCTTGAAAACTCATAATAAATAATAAATAAATAAAATTAGAAAGAAGGATCCCCTGCAAGCTTGTCTCCTGATAACACTTTCTTCCTCTTTCTTCAGGTGGTGTTCCAGTAACGCCCCCTCAAGCAGGACCTTGGACACCTGTTGTCTTCAGTCCTTCTACAGCTGTGGTCCCAGGAGCCATAATAAGCGGCCAGCCTTCAGGTTTTGGTCAGCCAATCGTTTTTGGTGCAACCCCAGCAGTTCAAGTTTGGAATCAACCTTCATCATTTGCAGCCCCAGCTTCCCCTCCACCCCCTGCAGTTTGGTGTCCTCCTGCCCCCGTGGCACCCAATGCTTGGTCATCCACAAGCCCTCTGGGGAACCCTTTTCAGAGTACCACCTTTCCACCTCCTGCCATGCCCACTCAGGCTGCTCCTATGCTGTCCTCTGTTCTGGCCACACCTCCTCAACCGCCTCCCAGAAATGGCCCCCTAAAGGACATCCCCAGTGATGCTTTCACTGGCTTAGACCCACTTGGGGACAAAGAAGTCAAGGAAGTAAAGGAAATGTTTAAGGACTTCCAGCTGCGGCAGCCACCTGTTGTACCCTCAAGGAAGGGAGAGACACCTCCTACTGGGACTTCCAGTGCCTTCTCCAGTTACTTCAACAGCAAAGTTGGCATTCCTCAGGAGCATGTAGACCATGATGATTATGATGCCAATCAACTGTTGAGCAAGATTAATGGTGAGTTTGCTCACTCGTCGGCCGACCGCTGTTTCAGCTGTCCTACAGTCCCATGGGGATCTCAAGGGACGCTTCCATGTCCATCAGTGGTTCACTTCCTGCTTCTTCTGGCATTCAGGGCTGTCGTAATTTACCAACTTACCTGTTAGAGCCCTTTAACTCAGCCAATTCTAGCGATAGGCCCAATGCTGCCCCCCAGTGACCGTTCTTGAAAGGGCTTCTAAGAGCTAGAGAAATGTTATGATGCAATGTGTGTGACATTTGAAGAGCTGAATGATAATCTAGCCCACATCCGACAGTCACAAGCAAGAAGCTGCTGAGTGTCTTCCACTTTAGATAAGATATAGATGTACCTTTCTGTTCTGATGGATAGAGTTCTGGTGTGTGTGGTCATCTTTTACTTCACTGTTGGAAAGAATTCAAAGGTAAGCCAGTCAGGGAACATGCATTGTGTGTAGCTTGTCTACTAACTGTTTAGGTCCCTTGCCTTTCAGAACCACCAAAGCCAGTTCCCAGACAAGGTCTCCTCTCAAGTGCCAAGCCTGCTGACAATTCACTTGAGAATCCCTTCTCTAAAGGATGCTTCAGTTCACCACCGCCCTCCGTAAGTATCAATTCCTAGCAGATCATGCCGCATACCCCTATAGCTTACCGAATCTATTTCCCTACACAATAACTTTGCTGAGAATCCCTATTTGCCTAGGTTGTATTCTTAGGAAACTTCACATTGTTGTGGACATCTAGTCAAGTTGAGTGAGTTTATGTTGCATGGGCACTACCTCTCCTGAACTTGAGGAATAGTACAATCAAAAGCCTTCCTTTGTATTTTATTTGTTCCATCTTGTGAAAACATTATATCAGACACTGAATCAAAACAGTCTCTTAAAAACCTTTAAAGATTAAAAATTCTGTAGTCTATAGCTCTTTACCTCATCAAAACTATTCTTCTAAGCTGAGGGAAGCAAATACAATTCCCTATAGCCTTGACTTTGAACAGACAATATGTACTGTCCATCTCCAAGAAAGTAGGCAAAAACCACTATAGACATGTACAATGTCTGATTGGCTTATTAGTCAAGTCAGTGGTTTTCAACTTGTGGGTCATGCCACTTTGGGGGTTGACTGGTGTTTTCATAGGAGTCATTTATCAGATATCCTGCATATCAGACACTTACATTATGATTAATAACAGTAATGATATTGCAATTCTGAAGTAGAAATGATATAATGTTATGATTGGCGGTCACCACAACATGAGGAACTATATTAAAGAGTCATGGCATTAGGAAGGTTGAGAACCACTGCACTAAGTGATATTTAATGATAGGTTTTCTTATGACTATAATAGTGTTCATTGTGTTGTTTTTATCTCATAGGCGGCTTCTCAGCCTGCATCTTCTGATGCCCACAGGAGCCCTTTTGGAAATCCTTTCGCCTAACTTCCGTAAGTGGAAGAACCTACTTAGCATTTTTTCACAGTGGGTGAATGGTGAGAAACTGTGAAACAGAGGGCAGAGGGTGAAGTTTTAATTTTAGAATTGGAAAGAGGCTAAGTATGTGTAATTTGGGAGTAATGAGGCTGAGCATTTAGGAAAGTAATTCCTACAAGCAGTAGTCAATCTAGGAGATACAAATTTCTATCTTGTGGTTTTGAAACTTCAGTTCTATATGGAAGTAAATTCAATAGAAAATGGCCTCAAATTCTCTCTGAATCAGAGAATAACCTAGTTCTGAATTGCCTGCCTCCTCTTCCTAAGTGCTGGGATTACAGACACTCACCACTACACCAAATTTTACATCGTCCTTTGGAAATCAAACCTGGGACTTCATGAATGAAGCACTCTCCCAGCTACATTCCCAGACCTACTTTAAAAAAAAAGAGAGAGATTCGTGTTGAAGAGGAGGCATCTGGTAATAATTTGGCTCTCTATAAAATGTCCAAGTTTGGAGGACTTTGTGAAGCCATCATGTAAGTCAGCTAAGCAGATGATAATACAACTTCTCTTTCATTTCATTCCTCAAGGGTAATCTCAAATTGGCCCCTGTGGTGGGATGTGTTACTCTGACACCAGTGACAAGACTTTATACTAGGAAAGCTGTCTCATTTCATCATCAGTCTATAAACAGAGGCTTATGGATGGCGGTGCTCAGCTTGCTTCTCCTTCTTACTTAGTTCAGGATCCCATCACAAGGATGGCCATCCCAGTTACTCTGGTCCAGATAATTCCTTACAGATATAGATGTGTTTGGTATAGGACCTCACTCATTAATTCAGACTGGCCTTGGTTTTACTATATAATTTTGGCCAGCCTTGAAATCCTGTGCCTCCTTCCCCAGCCTTCTGAGTGCTCAAGTCATCAGCTTGCACTATCACATCTAGTGGGTAGGACTATTTTATCCTATCTTCACGTCAGCTCTGGGATGTACTATCACTAACATTTGAAAATGATGTTTTAATACGTAATACAATGGCAGTCAATCCAAACATCCTAACCTTTCTTCTCGATGTTTCTCTAGGAAGCTGTATTGCTGACTATTCAGATGGACAAAAGACTGGCTTCAGCCAAGGACAAAGCTGACAGCCAGAAACGTGCTGACCTCTGTCCTCATGCCACCTCTGACACAGTATCTGTTGCCTTACATGTCTCTGCCTCTTGTAAGATGCCTTTCACTTTCTGTCTAGGCTGAAGCTAAACTGAAACTATGGCTTTATGTAAATTAAGCTCCTAAACTCTCTAGCTCAAGTATAAATGAAGTAGCTTCCCTGCCAAAGCCTTGTCTGTTCTGCCCCTAGAAGTTTCCAGAATACTTCCCCTTCTACCCTTCAACTGGGAGGTCTGGCCACCTTAACCCTTCATATCACACTGCCTTGAGTAAATGTCCAAATCCTCATACCTCGAAGTCATTTGGTGTCCCTAGTGTGCAGCTTAAACCTAAACATTCTACCAATAGGACAGCAGACATCTTGCTTCCCATGCCCAGAAAGAATGTTTTGAGTAAACTGAAAGCAAGACTAACTTCTCAAGCACACAGGACCATCTCAAGATGACCATTTCCCCCTATAATGACATTTCTCCTGTAATTGTGTCACTTACCAATCCTGCCCCAAGAGGTGCTTACAGTAGACTTGAAGAAGAGGAAATTCTAGTTCCAAATATAAGGCATTATTCAAAGTTCATAAAACAAATAATTTCTTCCTGGGGCCTCAAATTGTTTTTATTCTGGACATTTTGCAGCTGTTTGACCCTGGTGACCTTATGGCCTGAATTTTCCTTGATGATCTTAATTTCATATCATGTGATTTTTTTCTCAATAAAGATGATTATTGTGTGCATTACTTTAAAAAAGTATAAGTTTTCTTCATTCTGATGATTTCTCCCAGGACCTAGGCTATTCAACTTTTAATCTTCTGCTATTTTAATGAGAGAATAGCGCTGCTGTTTATATCTCCCTGTCTTTGTCTCCCATGCTTCTTTCAGTCCATTTTGCTCCTGGGTTTGAATAAACAATACCCATGAACAGATATTTACCAGGAACAGATTTTTATGGGTCAAAAAGCATTAAATGACTCACAAATCTGGAGTACTCCCCACCCCCATCCCCCACCCCCCACCCCCATCCAGTCCTTGTTAGTTCAATGTCTAAACTTCTGAAGGTACACCATCCTCATCCTCTGTATGGATGGATGGAGGGCCATTCTCTTAAACTTCGGAAGAGTGATTTAACACAGGAAAGGAACTGGATTCAGCTCAGCCATGAAGGACTCTATTCAGAAAGCCAAATGTGACTGTACCAAACACACTGGGTCCTGACTGGAGGTTGTGTTATGCCTTTCTCATGTAATTGGAAAACTTCCTTGAAGCAGCAATCATCTAGATACTAAGACAAACTAAATGAGGGGAGAAAAGGTGACGGATGAATGTTCGGGGTCGTCATTGAAAATCTGCCTGCAATATTTTTCTCATAACCTTGGAAACCTATGCAGTGCATTTTCATTTTCAGTCTTTTTGTTAAACAGGATTGAAGAGTTTGTTCAATCCCTTTATTTTAGTTTATGTTGATTTTTTAAATATTATCACTTGACCCTTAATGCTCAGGTCTTGTGGGTGTTAATACAATCTTATCTTTTGGTGGAAGAAGATGACTGCTCAGGATTTAAACAAGAAGCTGGCCTTGTGAGCCCCTGTTGATTAGCCCCAAGTGATCCAAGCTGAAGTCCTGTGGGTTTCTGTTTGATGCTAATCGTTAATTATCTACAGCATTTTTTTCTGTCTAACTTCCTATTCAGTCATTATAAACAGAGACTTGAAATCATACTTTAAAATTCCAAATACCTAAAGATGTGCTAAACTGGAGGTAACTATTTCTAGATGGCCAATTTTTTTGAAAATAATGATCAGCTACACACCTGTTTTGTATGTACCTGTCTTCTTGGGCACTTTTCTGTATACAAATAAAGCTATAAATTTACTCATTCAATAAACTGGAATGACAAAAATCTCATGTCACTGTCGCTTCTTCTAGTATTTGACCCCTGATTTAGGTGGAGTGTTATCAAGATATGAAACATACCAGCTAAAAGGTGGAAAGCTGCTAGTTTTACACAGTGATAAGAGAAAGTGGAAACCCATGACACAGACACACAAATAAATTGCCCAGTCTCTTTCAGTGCCTTATTCCCTCTCACATCCACACGCATTCTCTTCCTGTGAATTTAATGGAGTTGGTAGATAGGAGTTGCTACACGTCACATGATATTCACTGGACAGTGTTGGTCTGTGCCTTTTGTCCTTTGCTTTACCATTATTCAGCCATGTTTGACCCCACCAAAATACATGTGTAGGGGTTAGTCTGTGTGGGTACTAGCCATTTGGAAGATCTGTAGTGTCAGGCTCACAGGTCAATGATCAGCTGAGGACTCTCTCAGTCATGGTGCCCTGGTTTAAACTCAGGGACCTCATTTCAGCAAAGACCTGGAACAAATTCTAAAGCAGATTATGGAAAAATACAAAAGACTGGGTTTTAACCTAACTACTCTAAAGAGTAAAATACTGGGGAGGAATCATCTTGTGGTGCATACTCTTATGGGATGTTTGGGTCTTCTGCCTTGTTCGCCACTTAACTGAAAACAGTTGGTATCCTTCTGACAACAGTGAGGTGGAATGCAGAGAAACAAGAGGGCTGGAGATGAGCCCCAGATGAGAGTAAGCTGAGGGCTGCTGGGAAGGACACACCACAGAGTATTTGGTTTATCTGGGTGTTCTGCTGTGTGTTTAATGAGATGAACTGATTCTCCTTCCATGTGACTCAATGTGTAAGCATTGTTCATGTACAAGAAGACATTCATGCAGTCAATATGAATCACTGTTAGACAAAAAAGGGTTGTGCTGCCGGGTGGTGGTGGTGCACCTCTTTAATCCCAGCACTCTGGGCATTGAAGGCCAGCCTGGTCTACAGAGTGAGTTCCAGGACAGGCTCCAAAGCTACAGAGAGACCCTGTCTTGAAAAACAAGCAAGCAAACAAAAAAGGGATGCACTTACTGAAGTAGCCCTGAAAATGAGAACTAATCTATCCCTTGTACTCTTTGTAGAAATGGCATTCAAACCTATCCCAAAAGTAATATTTTGTGGGAACCCTAGAGCTTCATTTAAGCATCCAATGTTAAGCAAAAGGTTGAATGTTAACAACCAGGAAACCCTGCGATTTCTTACACAAATCAACACAAAGGGAGAAGGTACTGATTTCTATTACTATAACCACCCATTGGGTAATGCTATGCTCATTATGAAAAATAATTCCATTCTGCTGATACATAATCCAGTGAGGTAAATCTGTAACCATTATAGCTCATATGAAATTGGCATACAGGTTTTAAAATGACTGAAGTTGCTCTAGAACATAGGGAGTTTTTCTAATGGGTGTTTTGTGGCAAAACTACTGTAGTGGGTACTCCTCTTGCACAATGCTAGAAGCCTCCAACAAGCCAGGCGGCCTTGTTGTGTCTTCCTGTGCTGAAAGAAAGGCAGGAAAGAACAGGACATAGCTAACTCAGAAATGTGGTTCACCTTGGAATTACCTGCTGAGTGAGGACTCTGACCCAGATGCCTGGAATAGATTCAAAATTAAGTCTTTTCCTGAAAGACGGGAGTTGCCCAAAAGATCCTGGTAAATATTTAAGCTATTACCATTTAAAGAGATTGCTCAACAACAAAGCTCAGAATACTTTCCGGGAAATGGCATGTTTTTAACTAATTCTTTTCTACTAAAAAAAAAAATCTAGATCTCATGTTCTAAGTTTATCTGACACACACGGGTATGAAGAAAGCTACATACCAACAGCGGGTCTGTTAACATATCCTAATTATGGTGATGCTGATGGACCAGGGCCAGCCACTTGTCATCGCACCTCCTGAGTACCCCAGCCTGTTTGCCCTTGCTTTGCTGGAGCTATATGCCTAGTTACAAATTTCTATCTTCTACTGAAGTCATAACAGTGATGATCTCTATAGAGAACAAAATGTGGGCTTCTCAGTAATCAAAGTAGACTGTAATAGTTAAAAGGAAAAAAATATACAAAAAACAAGTCCACATCTAGAAGTCTTCATGACTATGTTTTCCTTGTGTGTTGTTTGTGTAGGTTATATCATTCCAGTCAATGATACATACAATGGTTGACTTCACTTATTATTTTAGCTTGTTGTTGATTTTTTAAACTAGGAATAGTTTATAGGGTGCCCAAATAGGTTGCAGGTGAGTCACAGATATGTTTACAATGTGTTTTCTAAGTACTCCTTTGCCCCTTATATTAGCTGAGTGCCACTGAAATTTTTCTTTGGCATCAGAGAGATGAGAGTATTAGACATAGGAGCTAATAAGAAGGGAAAGGAAGAGAAGAGAGGGAAATGGGAGGTTTGACATGTCATCTGCCTCTCTCTTCCTTCACTGAATGGAGAGATTGACTGGGGATTGACAGGAAATGACAAAGCTGGAAGCAGGAGAGGATATCTGTTTTTGATAAAAGAATAGAAGACCCTGGGATCTGGGCAGAAGTTCTCAGCCTGCATGGGGCATGAACAGGTTTCAGGAATGAAAACACATCTGACCTCAGGGCAAGGATTACCAAACAGGAAAGCAACTTCCATATCCCACCCCATGTGAGGGTATGTACATAGTCAATTGTCACTTCTAGGAATCTACATTTAAAATAAGAGCCCAGAAAATCCTGGTAAAGGGGGTGGCAATACTCCACACTCTGAGATCCCTTTATCTTTAGATTGGTCTATTCCTAAGAATGGATTTTTAAAGAGAAAAAGTAGTAAGAACAGAGTGCAGGTCACTGAGGTCTGCCCATCATAGTGATAGTCAGGGAAGAAGCTAGCAAATGAGGGACAGAATGCAGTTCTTGATCACCAAAGTTGAGGGAAGCAGACTTTTATATATAAAAATATAGCCTTGTGGACCTCCAGTCATTCATACTACATGTCATTCACAGGGGTGTTATATTTGTTGGGTATGGAGAATGGTATCACAAGGTGTATCTAAAACCAGAACTTGACAGTGACCCCAGCCAGGTTTTCTGCATTCAGTGATCTGATTGCCTCCCTGAAAGGGTATGTGCTGCAAGGGAAGGAGCGAGGATTCTGCTGTGCACTGAGGAGCTCCGTGAGAAGAAGCTATGGCATAAACCAAGAATCCCAAACCAGAGATCCCTGAACACTCAGTTGAGCCCATGATCACCAAGAAAAAGAATCTGAAAAAATTGCCCATACCTTTAAAGGGGCCAAATGGAAATGACCCTAAACATATTTTATCACATTAGATGAAAAAAATCTTCATATTGCTGGTCAGAATATCCATGTGCCTCCACCATTCCAAATGGGAAAGGGGTTGTATTGGTATGTGAAAGTATAATTTAGCAACATGAAATTCCCAAGGAAATTTGAATAAAAGGTATAGAAAGAAAGAAACAAAGAAAGGACGGAGAGAAAGAGAGAGAGAGAGAGAGAGAGAGAGAGAGAGAGAGAGAGAGAGAGAGAGAGAGAGAGAGAAGAAAGACAGATGGACAAACGGACAGAAAGAAAGAAAGAGAGAGAGAAAAAGAAAGAAAGAAAGAAAGAAAGAAAGAAAGAAAGAAAGGAAGGAAGGAAGGAAGGAAGAAAGGAAGGAAGGAAGGAAGGAATGAAGGAAGAAGATCCCCTTACTGGTAGAAAATTGTGAGGTTCTTTTCAGGGTGGAAACTCAGAACTAGAGACTGAAGTCAGTTTAGAAGGAGGAGGCTGGTTAGGAGTCATCATGACTCCATGCTCCATGAAAACAGAGTGAGCTAATTAAAATATTAACCATAGTATTCATAGTGTGTTGGGAAAGCCTAACACACCAAGTAAGTGCAAACCCCAGGGACTCATCCTTGGGTGAGATTGGACAGATGGTTTAATCTCAGTAGCCAGCATTTCTTCAACTCTGTGATGGAGCCTTGGAGAATTAAATTTATTTGCATATGTAGATAAGCCAGCATATTATAAAGTTTCCATCTTCATCTCTAATGGCTATCATGTGTTATAACTATAAAGACATTTGCTTCTCCAGTTTAATTCATCCCAACCATCCCTTTCTCCAAGGTACACACAAAGGACAAACTTCACTTCAAAATGTGTCAGGAGCCAGGAAGAGTTCAAGGCACTGTAAAAATAAAGACCATGTAATTCATATAGTGCATACATTATATAGTATATATAATCAACTTTTAGGTTGTTATTTTATTTTGCTATTCTCATCGTATCACTGTATTTTATAGCCTGATGATAAGAATCAAGTTATAATTTGGAATATCTTCCCACTCAAACCAATCAGGCAAGATGTCCTTTTCCCCTCCACCCCTCCAGACTGTCAGTCTTCCAGGAAAGGTGATTTTGCAGTATTAAGTCATCACAACTTACAGTATAATCAGCTAGCATCATCCTACTAACATAAAACAGCATCCTACACTAACTTATTTCCCGCCCTTAGGTCCACAGACATCCTGAGAGGATCCACAGAGGCCCCTGTGCACTGTGACAGAGCTGACAGATCTGGACTGAATCCGGGTGCTACCCACCTGTAATTATCTAAGGCTCATGGGAAGGGTCCCTCTGGCTTGGATTCATTCACTGACATAGCTGCAAGCATGGTACCTAAGAATCCTCTTATTGCTTGACAATTTTGTGTGGTTTACATGTCAGGCACATGGTCTCCACAGTATGGGTGAAATTAGTTCTCAAACTCTGTATGGAAAAATGAGAAGGAACAAGAAAAGGTGATTAGATCTGCTTTGCTCTCCATGGCATAGGTAAAATGGCCCCAAGATTGCTATCTCTGTGGTCTGTCATCCCCAAATGCCAATATTTGAGATTTGCTCTTTTGTAATCAATAATTATCTATAAATGTCTCTTAAGAATTGTGTCAGCTGGGTGTGGTGGCACACATCTTTAATCCCTACCCTTTATAGGTAGATGCAGGCA